TATTCAATGTCTGAAGATTAAATATTTTTGAACCCCCCCTCACTTGTTGACAATAATGAAATACGAATGTTTTTATCCCCTTTTCATTTTACTACATAATTTACGACGAATTTACTTTCTACACTTGCACCAGAAACTATTGCCGGAAAGAAACCTGTAAATACAATTAAATAAATGCTCTAAGATAATTTAAAATATTACATGATTAATCATATCTTGAAAACATTGTGTCTTAGGTCTGTTCTTACCCGTTTACATACTACTTAACTGTATATAATTTCAGGGTATTCTTCCACTGAAAATAAATCGTGCCGAAAGTGTATTTACCCACATAAACTGCGTCAAATGAACCTAACATAATTTGATCCAAATGTAAATAAAAATGTCTCACGCCCAATGCACAAACGCCATCGGCTCAAATTTGAAACCCAAAGGAGTTTCTTGATAAGAAATTCAAGCAGATATCATTCGTGTACCGGAAACTTACCAAATGCATAATGTGGTTTAAGAATTTTTAGATCCTCTGGACCCCGAGGCCTAAGCTGTAGCCTACTTAGCTTAATAAATAAATCTAACCCTACATAATCTGCTTTGTTTGGTGAGAGTTTTGCACGAGATGATTGAAGTATAGTGAAAGTTAAATCGCTCTTCGTAACCGTAAGGGACGGGGGGAGCATGAGGAGGAACAACTCAAAACAAAGATAACATTTTAGTTTTGTACAATACTTTCTGAATAAAAAAAAATGAACTTCACCTGGATAGTCGAGATCGCTTAGACTCGGTTCGAACAGTCGCGGATTTGAGTTCCACCTCGAGTATAAAGGTTTCTTAGTGTGATGTGGCATAGATGCGGCTTTTTCAAACCACCGTGCACCGAATAAAGTACACACTCTCCCTTTTCCTCCCCCTAGCCCAGACGAATGTGAGAGAGGGCCAGTATGACTGTCAGCGGTTGGGGGATATACCGCCAACGCGTGTACAAGCTGCGACGTGTGCGCCATCTGTCCGCCACCACATCTCTCTAATCGGTAAAAAAAAGGTTCCGAACGTCGACGCGGGCCTGTCCAAAGAGAATATCTCTATGCCTCCGGGCTTCAGCGGCAAGTTGGTTCTAAGGGCCACTGCAGAGAGACGGCTGTGGTAAGTGCTCTAGGATAAGAAGAAAACAGCTGATATAGTTAAACTGACAGCGGAAGGTTTTTTATTTATTGATTAGTGATTCCTGGCGCGTCAACTGTAAAGGTCATTAGTCCCGTAAGTGCTGATAATGTTTTCTCTCTCGGGATGTAGTGTTTATCTTCCCTCCTCCCCCCACAGGGTTTCCCCCAAACCAGGTATCTCCCTACCAGCCGGGACAAGCTCTAAGTTCCCGACCGGTCTCCCGATGTGTGTAGTAGAGTAGTGCATGCCATTGTGTGAATGTGAGGGGTGACGATAGGACAAAGAAGAGTAAGGAAAGATCGTGCGCGGTCCTTTTGTCAGGGCATTCGCCTACTGTTGATAGGAGAAATGGAAAACTACCGATTAGAGCACCGGCCGCTAGAACACTCTTCCACACAGCGACTGAATTCGACATATCTAGCTAGTTAGTAGCGAAAATTCTGCCATTTGGGACTCAAATCTAGGACCGGTCAGAGACACTGCAGTGACATCAGCAGATGCCCTGAGCCACCTCTCCCGGTAGGTGAATGGTGACTGAGGGCAGGAAGCACTGGTGAAAGCCATGGTAGATTAACATAAGCTGGCTAATACATAACTGAAATTGTACAGCAAAAATCATTGTATCTATAGCCAATGGGCCTTTAATTGCACACAACGCGAATATCAAAAGAAAAAAAGCGCAATTTTTGTTGCATCATGAAAATTCCACCTCCTTTTCTCGCTACTGGCGAGAAAGCTTGTTTGGGTGTCCCCTAACGCTTTTCAGCATGTGAGAATGCTGTCATTGCCAGGTCCCTTTATGAGCCGGCGCTGTCTCGCTCATAAGGTGGGGCGATGTCCATCGATCTCCAGGTGTCTGGCGGACATATTTCTAAATGTAATTGTAATCCATATCCTGCAGTCCGAAATTAAGCCTTCTCAATGGTCAGAATCTCGGAGCCGTTGCAAGTAGTTGGCTCACTATAGAACTCGTACCGACTCTAAGGAGTCGCTAAGACGGTGTGAGCCACGGCGCAAGAGAATTCCGTTGTGTAAGACACCTCTTACACCGTGGTGTAAGGGAATTCCTATACCGCTTACCCTAATGTATCTCTATTTCTTACATCGTGGTGCTAGCTGAGTGAAACTAGTGAACGATTCTTTGAGGATTGAGCAACATCTCAGAATATTCGCGAAAAATATGAAAGCCCTTCAAAATGTCCTCTTTTCTCATCTGAAAACATTTCATTTAATTCTTATTTATGAAAAAAAGGGAAGAATAATTTTCAATTATGTCAGAAGAAATCTACAACTGGAAAAACGGAATAGAATTCAGAGAAGCAGTCTCGGCGGAGAATGTGGATATGACCTATACCCACACCAAAAATTCGGGGTGGGTAAAATACCCACTCGAGATTTGGGGGTGAGAGAATTATTCCAGGTCACATTCCATGAACGATAAAGGCCCTTGCACACGAGCGTTGCGTTGACACGCGTCGTATAGAATAATATTGTGTCTTATGAGACACGACACACGAGCGCTTTGGCCGTTCCGCATAAGATAGTGTTAATCTACGACGCGCGTCAACACAACGCTCGTCTGACACGGGCCTAACTTCACTTTTTATGCACTGGAATTTGACATGGTTATTTAGGCAACTGGGATAATTCTGATAATTATCGTAATAAGTACGTAAATATAAAAAAGAGCTTCTTTTGTATGGTAAATCGCTTCAAAATAGTTGTTAAATGATTAAACACAATAAAAAAGTTGTTGTTTTTTTATTTTGTAGCGACCCGATACCACGCGAGCGTTCGCATCATCGCACTATGGGAATATCTTGAAGTTATTTCACTTATCAATGCTTTGTCTGCGACTGTCACATGAAACCCTTTTGAAGTCTGTCGCTACGCCCGTGCCTTTGTCTTCAGTTCATCGCGAGCCTTGTATAAGACAACACCGTATTCTTGTGTCACATCACTTCATTTGACTCTTTGTTTTTATTGATTGAATTTCTACTTTTCAATTTACAGCGGGAAAAAACCTCGCTTTGTATACAGAGTACACATGAAGGCGGCTCCACACATTGACCAGCAGCGAGCTACTTCTCGTCCAATACCGAATACTTCACCCAATACTTCACTCAATTTATAACTATAATAATAAAGAATTATAAACTACAAAAATAAAATACATGTACTCGCTTATTTTCTTTTCGTTGAATTTTATATATTGTACCATTACTTTCAATCAATTGCCACAATATACCACTTACTTTTTTCACATATTTTCTTCTTTTGTATTAACTTGGAAAAAGAAGTTTGAAATTTATATTTCATGTCACACAATAGCAATTGACAAAGAAGTATAGTTAAAATGCTTTTAATTTAATGCAAGTACATGTTTTAGGGTCCTTGATAAATAGTGGCTGACAGAATGATGCCTTTAACCACTTACACAATTATAACATCCCCAAAAATCCGTGTATCCCAGCTTGACAAAGCTTTTCTATTATCTAAAACAACATATTTTTAACCAACAATCTATTTTCAACAACCTTCAAAAAGAGCGTTGATACAATTCACTTCATCCAAATACCCATTTCCCATTTCTGTTTTACTTCAATTATACTTCTTCTCGCTTAACTTACTCTTGTCAATTTAAATAATAATTCCTTCAATACCCAAAGGTAATCTTTCACTCTCCACTATAATAAAAAAACTTTCCTACAAAAATTCATCTTTATGTCACAGTTTTAGCATAACTCAAATCATTCATAATATTTGCTCGTTTCACATACTGTTCACAAATATGTAATAATCATGATTAGTATACTACAACTAAACCAATAATTATTTTCTGAAGAAAACACGCATTCTCACCTTTTTACAACAATATCAAGCTCCATCCATCACATCCATCAGCAAAATGACTTGTATCCAAAAATGATCATACTTAATACATTCACACCTAGATGCAATTAAAATCAATATTCAAGTTACTTTTATAAGTAGAGTAAATGAAAACAGTTAGAATCATTCTTAAATATGAAATTTCAGATTAGACAACTGAATGTAACAGATATACAAACAGCCCCCTCCTACCTTATAAATAAATAATTCTGTACATTGATGAACTCAATCTTAGATCCGGGTCATCATCCTCTGGTGCAATGCAGCAAAACTATTATACACTGATGCACTCTTGAATCTGTGATGTAAAGCTAGGCGAAAAAAGTCCACAAAATTAATTATTTCATGCATTCATTACGGTGTATGGTTATAAATCATAATATATAGTTTCCATGTATCTTCAAAGGAAGATAGCACAAAAGTTTGAACGATTTGGTTCAGTACATTTAGAGATTATGGTGCTGAAACCCAACACTTTTGTCTCCTTATATATTAGAATGGACACAGATATATAAATTGCTTTTAAACAGATACAAACTTTATCAAGGATTAGTAATCTCTTCATGCATCATTTAATAAGCGCAAAATTCATTAAAATCTATACAAAAGTTCCTCAGAAAACAAAAATGCATCATACTTTAATATTGTTGGGATAACCTTTACAGAATTCAATGTTATAAATCACAGAAAAGCAAATTCATTGTTACTTGAATTGAATTAATGCCTTATTATTGGCGAGACTCAAGCCGCGAGGCCTGCTCTTCCACCCGACCACGCAAATTTCGCTACGCTCCTTTCGCCAACTAGCAGAGAAAGGAGGTATTTCTTGGGCGAGAAACAGGTGATTTGAATTTAGCTCAGAGGCGTCATTTACTGGAGGATCTTTTACATGCAAGTAAATCTACTAACATGGGACAGCCGGCTTTACTTCCCCTCCAAAGGAAGGCGTACTAAGTATTTTTTCGCCCTTAAAAATCCACGGCTTCGATCGGGTTTGAACCCGCCAACTTGGATACAACAGTGTGATACGCTAACCATTACACCATCACCGCACACAAACTTGGCTCATTGATTTACTGGTAATTTCCAAACTGCTTGTGATATTACTTATAATAAGAATGTAGTTGTACTAATGATAGGCCAGTATAAAAATGTTAAATTTCATGGTCAAAGTGTCTTCTCATTCAGGAACAAACTAAGATAACCATTCTTTTATAATAAATTACAACTTTATTTATGTATATTTACACTCAAACTAGTATTTAAATTATCGCAATTAAAGTACAAACAAGGTTATATTGCTTTTATGTCTTTCAGAATGCTGAAGAATATTTTATTTGCTGGAAGTAGAGCTAGATGAGATGTCTTTCCACTTCCCTTCTATCAGTCTTCAAACAATTTATGTAATGCAGAGAAAGTTGCACCGTTCCCAGGCACCATCATTTGGAAATATCTTCCTTAATAAAGGGCACAATAGCACTGAATTAGAACGTGGATTAAAAATGCACATCTGATTTAAAAGACATGCCAATGCCCATATTGGTGACTCAGAACACATCCCTTTTCTTAGTTTCAGTAAGCAATTCACTTCCTCTTTCCATATACAGGCAGTCAACAGATACCCAATAATCTCGAATACATAACTAAAAATCCTTTGTTCAAAAAATCACAGGAGCAAACCACAGTAAAAATTAGACAGGAGTCTCCCAGTACACTGGGGCAGCAGGGGCGGAGGCAGCAAAGGGGAAGGATGGCCGGGCTGGGCTGCCCCCACCCCCACCCCAAGTCCTTGCCCCCGCCCCGGCTCCTCAGGCGGCTTGTCCCAGAGGAGCGGGTGGTCGAGGTTCACTGAAGCACAGCAGTTGTAAGCGCATGCGAGCACGAGCACGACTCAAGACATCTTCAACCACCCTGCAACAATAACATATTCGCCCATAAATGAAGAGACGTTGGTTTTAGGAAAGTACAGCCCATTGGAATTGTGATTAAAAATATTAGTTTGTAACCCTTTTTGTAATGATCACATTTTCTCAATCAGCATTTTTTCTCCTTCATTTGTTTCAAAAACATATCATTCTCATAAGAACATAAAATGTTACATACTTTTTTTCAGCCGGTGTTTTTAAGGGTGGAATTGCATCAAGGGCCTCAACAAAGAACCTCCTGGAAATAATAAAAATTAAGATACATTTAAAAATGACAATTCATGAGCTGGAAATTAAATGGACAATCTTCTAATGAATCAATTGATGTTGATAGAATAACTAATGAAATTATTAAGGCAAAGGAAGTCAAAGAATTATATTTTTCAGAACATAAATGAATCACCTATGTTGATTTAGCTGATCAAATAAATTATGAATAAAACAATTATTGTAGGTTTATATCAACAAATGAACTGGTTTCTACACATTACAAATTAAAAAAGTTGCATGTACACCTTCCAAAATGGAGGAATATCCCAAACCATTAAAGGTTATTTTTTATGATAACTATTCTTTTCTGGGAAAAAAATTCTTAAAACATATACAGGAATACCAACTATTGTGGATACTATAAATATCCTCAACAATAGTCAATAAACCTTTCAAAAATTAATCAAAATATGAGGAAGATTAAATTTATATTATCAGAATGTACTAATGGAAGATTTTATCCCTTGCTTCGTGTTCCAAGAAAAGTGCAACATATTTCTTGTTCTAAGATCATTGCTAAGTTACTTCAGATGTCTCAGTTGTCAAGGGAAGTATTAGCTCATCCAAACTGTGTTTAATTATTTATTATATGCGCATGTTTCTAAAATATTTATTGCAGAGATCTTCGATCTGATGAAATTCTTTGATTTTTCCAACATTTTCCAGATGATGTTATGAAAGGATCTAATGAAACTGAAAATTATGACAAGTCCGAAGAGTAGGAAGTAACAGAGCCAGCTGACAGGAAACCGACTTCATAGACTTTAGTACTGGACACAAAATATTTTAGTTAATACATGACACAGTGAAATAGACTTCACAGACTTTAGTAGTGGATAAAAAATATTTCTGTTCATACACTCATGAAATTTTATGTTTATTGTTTTGGTAATTTTCTTTGTGAACATCATCAATAATATCAAGCATGTTCTTTTCCTTCAACTACTACGTCCCTCAATTATTATATGAAATAAGAATGTTTTTATATAAAAGAAATTATGAAAAAAATTAGAAAACAATAGACATAAGTCACATTACAAAACATTAATCACGGCAACCACCTGAAAATGTGAAGATAACAAAAAAATGTATGTCATTGAAATGACTTATTCAATGAGTATGAGAACAAACCATAATGGCAAAATCATAACATTATGATATCAATTTTTCACAACTATGTGCTCACATACTCCACCAAATGTTGATGTAAAAATGCATGCATGATGAAATTGTTTCATATGCAGCGTAAATATAACTGCATAAAATGCAGTGATCAAATTACATTGGAAAAGAACATACGTAGCATTTTGTGTTGTGTATTGCCGCACAGTTTCTTGCACAAACTGTATATCTGCAGTTGCTTGTTGTCGACCCTCACAGCTGAACCGTGTAACACATGACATTAGACGTGACAGTTCTTCAGCTACTGTCTCAACAATCTGACACAGAACACGAGACACAAGAGCTGGAGAAACACGATGTACCTGCACAGAAATTATAAAAGATCATTATTTATTTAATGTATCGATAACTCGTCTAACTTTTAAATAAATGACTTTAATAATGAAAATTTGGGAATAAGTTACAAAACAATAATGCAAATACAGTAAAATCTGCCTAAACCGGAACCTGTATAAGCCGGAAACCTGCCTTAAGCGGAAAATTTCTCTGGCCTGTGAAATTAATTGGCATTTTACACAGCATAAAACAGAACCCAACACAGAAATGGAACGGTTTTTCATGTCCTGCAGGGGGGGGGGATTCTTTTAAAATGGAATTCCTGTGAATTTAATGCAGTTGGCTGAGAGACGCGAAATGTTCTTAATGAAATGAATGGATCTGCAAACTTGATTTAAATTCTCTATCCCTGTGACACACGATTTAGTAGTGACAGCCAAGCATTGTAGGAGAGGAGTTTCAGCTGTCATCATAGAATTCGATCTTGGGATCGCTTGTCTCTCAAGGTGTAGGCCATGGCGGAATTCCCTCTCCCTGTCCCCTACTCTCTGAGCGTGGGAAGGTGTATGGGCATGGCTTCTATTCACACGTCTCCCTGCCCCTTGTTGAAAATCATAATTCTCCAAGTAGATACGCATTGCTGAAGACTGTGCGAGGGTATCAGAAAGTCAGTACTTGGTATTGACACATAGTGCGTCGAAAGAGTCAGCAAGCATTCAGAATTCAGGCAGTAAAGAGTGAATTTTTCAACTCAGAAGCTGTCAATGAAGTCAGTTTAATATTCATTTACTGGTGATACAATTCCAATAATATGTTATGTTAATGTATTTTGATAATTATAATAAAGCCATGTAATTTACTAGTTTCAGTATGATTATATCAATATTACAAGTCTCATAAAATGGACAACACTGCATAGAACGGATAACCTCTCTAAACTGGAAATTTTTTTGTCCTGATCGATTCCGCTTAGGCAGATTTTACCTATACTACAAATTAAAATGAAATGCAATATTTTACCTATGTTGAAAGTTATCTATTTTTGATAGTATATACCACGAGTCAAATTAAGCTATCCAGTAAATTTATAGCTACATTTCAAGGTTTATGTAATTCTTAAGTCATATAGATCATTTTAGCAAACAGCTAATAGAATTTTATGCAGTTTCATCATGTATGATTACATTTAAATGAACAACAACAGACTGCCACAACTAATTTAGAATAGAAACCAGAGGGAATGGAAATATAGAAAGACCATAAAAGAAATGGCAACAACAGGCACATTTGGAAGACTATAGCTACCGAAGATAGTGTGGTACACATAAGAAACAGGTTGTCAAATCTATAACCTCACACCGAATGCCATAACCTCAAATTCAAATGTCAATGTCCTAAAAATTAAAGGAGCTTTCTTATTCTATAAAATAATACTAAAAAATATAAATCTAAAAACTTTCAATACACAAAGGGCAGTTTAGATAAATTACCATTCTGAAACCAAGTCAATCAACAACTCGCATATAAAACAATATTGGAATAGAGCAGTGAAAAACCACTTGCCATCTTCCTAGTTTTAAGTCTAACATAAACATCCAACAAAAAAATAACAAACTTGGTACATCTATTGTCTAGAAACCTTTCTAGTTAATAGAAATTTATATATGTAAAATAAAAGGTTTTAAAAAGCATAACAGTACCAACCGTTTATTAACTGGTCATGTTTTGATATGTGGGCAAAGCACATAAAAAGCAACTAGGCTGAACGTAAAAGTTATCACACAAAAGGAAGAGCTATCAAAAGTATCACAGAAAAACTATCACTTTATGGAAAAATCAAATACTCAAAAATTCGTTTCATACCATTTAGTGCTAATTCTCCAAAACTACTGAAATGTAGTTGTAGAACAATAAATCACTACTCACGTGAACAACAGACTTAAAACATGTTTCTGAATATGAACATGAAATGTTTTATATATTACAAGATTTACCCATGCATGTTGTAACTATCATAACATGAATCCTGCCATCTACCTTAATTCAAACTGTACTAATTTGAAAAGGGATGCACAAGTCAGATGAGTCAATAATATATAACTCACAGGTAAAGATATGCAAAACAAATTCGTTGATCTTTGAACTTAGAAACTTTGCTGTCTTTACTCGCTAAGTTAACCTCACACTCACACAGTTGAAAGTGTTCATTTCTATTCATCTTTAGATATTAATAAAATAAGTAGTATTTATTATAAATTAGTTAACAAGAGCATGTGATAAAACACCTAAAACTCACTATCTTTCATTTAAAAAATTAGCCATGAAATTTTTGTTTAAATGGAAAGTCCAAACTTTTTTCTACATGAAAACCCACAGTGTTTTAAATATGTAAGAAGATTGTTTCTTTAGGACGCAACACCACAACTAGGACTGATGAAAATTATCAGAAAAGTTGTCTTTATATCCCTCACAATACATAAACCTTTAATTTTCAAAAATCATGTGCCCACTCCCATTCACATGAAAACAACAGGCTGACTGCATTGCAAACCCATGAATATTTTTTTCAATGTTATTACACTTAGACAACTTTTATTTGGGCTCCATACTAATGATTAATTAAGATTAAAATTCTATTGATGCCAATGCCAAGATTAAAAATACTGTTCATTAACGCACCTCTGCATGAACTCCATTCATATTTGCTATTATCTCTTTCACGTAGGGAGATATATCTGAGGGTTTCCGTGGAGTATCCCAATCAAAGCGGCCTAAATACATGGATGGCTCAATGGTGCCCACCAATGGATCACTCTTCTGCTCTAGATAGACCTATTAGAGAAAACAATTCATGAATATTATAATGAATATGACATATTCTAACCAAAACAAACATTAAAAATGTCAATGTTTTTGTACTGCTTACCTCCATAATTCTCTTGTCAAGAGCTGAAAGAGCACTGCTAGCTGTTGCAATGGGGAGTGTTGGTACTGGATAACCATGTCGAGAAAAGGTTTCTGACAAGCGAGAAAGGATTACCTTGGCAGTGAACTGGCAATTACTGAGTGTCATCAGTAAACGTTGCTCCCATGGCTGAAACAGGGTAACTCTTTGAACAATAATATCCAACACAATCAATATATGATGATATACTTGGAAGTTTAAATAAACTTGTGTAATTTCAGAATAGTGGTACAAAAAGAGATGATTTTAGAAATAAAAAGGGACATGCTAAAATAATTTGGATTCAGAGAGAATTGTGTTCCACACAGCAGCTGACACAACTCTACACTGAGATCCTCTTGCCTTCAAGAAGAAACAAAATTTGCTAACCATCTTTCTGGACATGCAGACATCCTTGTCATTTTGCATATGCGGACATTCTATTTGAGACTGGTATATGTTAATTGTGAAATCTGTTTGGGTAATGTGTTGCAATGGAATGTGAGATCAGAGGAACAAAGGATACCAAACATTATTTAAATCCAGCTTTTTATTCATTACTCTCTGAAGATTCACTTGAATTTAACAAAGGCCCAACAAATGGTAGCAGAGCCAAATCAAGTGCAGTTTAGAAAAATGAGGGACAACTTAGAATTAATTATTGCCTAGTTCAATACATCTTTAATTCACCACTGAACCAGTAGGAAGAAAAGGAGCTGGGAAGGAAAAGAAGGCTATTTCCATCATTTACCTAGGATTGGTACCAAATTGCTGATTGATTCAGTTGATAATGATGAAGAGGCATGACGTGAACTGAAGGATGTTTTTGAACCATCAACAAAGGCCAAAATAGCATCATTAATGATGTGACTTTTCCAACTGCAAATGGAATCCAATGAAGCAATGTCAGTCTTTATATAGAGTGAACTAAACAGCAATGACTTAGACTGCAGCTGGTAAGGTTGTTTATGATTTCTCATTCCAGATGCGATATCTGGAATGTTTGTAGTCTGCATATTTGAGGATAGGTTGAGTTATCCAACTGGTATGAAAAGTGATTCAGTTGACACAGGCTTACATTTCATTTTGATCTCCATCTGATTTTGATGATGAATTTAAAGGAACTGCACTGGTTCATCAAGTGGAGATTTGTGGGGAGGAAAATTTAAAGCAGGTTCCAAATTTATAACTTCAGTCAATTGTACCAAACAATTAACCTATACTACATGCTAAAACTCCACCCATTCAATCCCAATCTACTGCTGGTTTTCTTCCAGCTCATACAGCTAATTGGCTTAGGGCTATTGTACCTCAGACAGGTGGTAAATATCCTGGTTAAAAGGATGTTTATTACTTCCCTTGGCGAGTCTAATAAGAGATTGCAGAATCTTAAACAGATACAAGAATATTATAACATAACATATGTATGATTTTAATGGACAAAATACTCATCCTGGAGACATAGTGAATGTTTCAAGTGCTTGTACTGAATCCAATAGTTCTGATGAGTGCCTGAGTAATAGATTATGTTGAGTACCATGCTCCCAAGTATTGATATTTTATGCTGCCAAATTTTGCGCATTCCAGAGACTTATGAGGAAATACAATGTTCACTTCATAAACAGAACTATTGGTAATGGACAATGAGTTTGATGCCATTAAGTCCAAAAACGTGTTTGAATATATTTATAGACCAAAAGGTGCAAATGACCTGGGATCTAAATGGGTTTACACTCTTAAATTTGATGCAAAAGGCATTTCGCAAAGGTATAAAGCTCACTTAGTTGTCCAGGGATATCAACAAAGATCTGGTATTGATTATTTTGAAACATATTCTCCTGTGGTCAATTTTATTTGAGTGAGAATCATGACTGTTTTATTCTATGTCATCATAGGATGGGAATGAAGGCATAAAATATACTTATCTGTATGGTGACTTGTTCAAATAGCTATTTATACTGAATACCCTAAGACTTATGTCAGAGTATAAAGATATTGTCTAATGTATGTGGAGACTTCAGAAAACCATATAGACTTCAGAAAACCATATCCACCAAGAAGGCCGTAACTGGTATAAGGAAATGCACCACACGTGTAATATTGGATTTATTAAATCGCCTTAAATTAATTGCATATACACATACGGACAAGAAAAAATCCTAATAGTTTACACAGATGATTTAGCCATCTTTTCCCACACCCAACAAATTTTAGATCACATGGTTGAGCTCTTTTTATGAGAACGTGACATTAAAAATTTGGGTTCCAACTTCTTGGAGAATTATTTAGTCTCCAGAGGATCTGCATAGGGATATAGATAAAATAGTGGGAATGCACGATTCTGACCTTCAGTGCCTTTTCCATGGGAATAAATTTTACTTTATGCGATCTGTGCTAGTCAACAACACTTTAATTATCTCACAAAGGTGCTGCATTATTCGCATGACTACAAGATGATTTTTTCTAATATGACTAAAGACGGCGCAATAAAATTTCTTGACACTTGGTAGAGTAATTTCATATGTAATTGCAAATTAATGACTGGATTTATAGTATTTTTTGCAGGTGTATCAGCCTCCTGGCAGACTAAAATCCAAATATGTGTTGCTGTGTATGTTTGTATGGTTCAAAAATGTTCTAGAAGGATGCTATCCATTTGAATTTTCTTGTGGCATTCCAATAATTTATTGTGATAATGAAAGTGAGATTTCATTTGTTAAGACTTGCTATGAAAAAGAAAGATCCGAGCCCATTAATACCCACTTTCACTTTGAGGAAGACCTTTTAAAACATTACTTATCTACATACACATGTGTCTGTAAAAGCAAATATAACTGATATTTTAACAAAGTCTCTTTCAAAAAACCCGCTTTCACAACTTATATAAAGATATTTTTGATGTGTCCCCTACTTAATTGTGGTTATAATTTATCTTGTTATAGTATTGTGATCTCTAATTCGTATTAAGATAATGAGAGACAATGCTGATTGTAAATTTTGCTGTGGTGGAATGAAGCAAAGAAGAGTGGAGTGCAGTGGAATGAAGTAGAGTGAGGTGGGGTGGAGCAGTGTGAAGCAAAGTGTGGCAGATCAGATCAGAGCAGACCAGACCAGTGGTAATGCTCGAGGAACTGAAAATGAAAAATCTGTCTTAAATTATATGGACAACTGTTTTACAAATTTTAATCTTTACACCCACCTTTGAGAACAAGGATATGGAAAAGAATGGACTATGAGAGAATACAGACTACCAAAGACACACAAAGACTTACAATGGATAAAGTTTCCTTTACCAAAAAGTGTCGAGGTAAAATTGAAAGTTCTCTTGAAAAAGATGACGGTGTTCTCGTTCAGTGCAACAATACATTAAGGTGTAAATCCCACGTCACAGGTGAAAAGAGATTCTCAGGCTGAGAAAAACACATCTATATTCCTCGCCAGAATTGTGTAGCACAATACAATGCAAACATGAGCCTTATAGATCAAGGAATTGTGCAATTTAGAATCGGAATACAATCTAAAAAGTGGTACTAGCCCATTTGCACATGGTTGTTGGACTCCTCAGTGATGAATACCTGTTTTTTATAAAAACGAACCAACCAAACAAGTCAGTTGAAATTCCGTTGACTGGTGGCTCAGATATATTTTGGCCATTATGGCATTCACATTAAACGGGTATGATGGTGTTCAATCTCAAAAACCCTTTTACCTGGACTAAGATTGGATGGGCTTAACCATTGTGTAATCCTGCGTAATAGACAACAATGTGCAAGTAAAGAAGGTTGCTCTTCATTTGAAGAACCATGTGTGGAAAATGCAATACAGAACTATGCGTTAAGTGTTTTCAAAAATTTCATACTTCTAATTATATATATAATGAATTGTTGTGATTGTTATGTTCATTCTTTCCTACCATTTAATTTATAATAAGAGTTTTAAAATGAAACCTTTTTTTGACTTAAAGCGTCCATAAGCACCCAATAAAACCATATGCTTTCAGCAAATATTTCAAAATTGAAAAATGTAAATTAAGAAAAACAACATTAGAATTAAGTGTTTTAGGGATAATTTTCCCCGAATAAATTTGAAATCAGGTACAAGCTTTAAAAAAAAAAAAATTTGGGTCATTAATGGACACATGTCTAGAAAGCCAATTTCAAGTTGAGAAAAAAAGTTGCTTTAAGCTGAACAGATTAAATGAAATTTGAAATTACTTACCGGTCCTGTATCTTTATCCATTGACCGGAAAACAGTAGGGGCACCAATCAATTGAGAAACAGCAGTAGAACGATCATCTTGATTTCCATCATTGCTGAAGGCAAGGGTCTCCAAAGCCTGTCATCCCAAACCGAGAAGTGAAAACAAAAGAATCTTTGTGTTATTATTCATCAGAAATTGCAATACTGAACAAGATCATGAAGTTCATGAAGATCATGAAACTGCTTTTAGAATCATCACTACACTTTCCTACAACAATTGCCCTTTTCACATCACAACAAATCAATGAAATTATAAACACACAATACCAATGTGATAGTTAAATGCAATTTACGATTTGTCCAAACACAAAACATTCCTCTTTTTGAAAAACTATTTTAAAGAAAAATTATATGCGATTACAAACATGCATGAATCAAGCTGCAAGTAAGGAACATACCAGATAGCAAAATTCAACACTATCACACTTTCATATGTATGTGCTTATATTCATATCTATTTCAGCAAAGATGGCAACATTAAGTGTCGTGACACCTGATGGAAGCTGAGTAGCAAAGCTTGGGAAAGAGCGTTGAGTTCACGTTGAGCACTTGGTTCTGCCAGCAGAGGCTTTTCTCGTGCTTCACCCAGTAGGGCTGCCTCACGTACTTGCTGAACTACCTCCTGAACTTTGCGTTCGAATTGCAGTGGCTGAAACAGGAAAAGATAATGCGTTTCATTAATTCTCCTTAGAAAAGAGAAAAAAAAAAAAATACAATACCAACACATGACATGGCAACTCACCAGATCTGAGATTCCACCATGTTGGCTATCAAATTCAACCTTCCAAGTCTCCTGCTTGTGTAGAGCCTTCACATGATCAGCTGCTTGATGAAATAGTGTGCTCATACAATGTAATCTTGAAAAAGACATGAAAAAGTTACAATCAATGTAATGAGGAACTTTGTCTGCAAACTGAGACAGTGATAATTAAAGAATAAAATCAAAATGGGTGGGCCAAAAGAACAGTGACAATACCCTAATAAGACATGATTTGTTTTGAAAACCCACAGAGAAGTGTCATTAAAATACTATACGTGCAAGTTTTCTTGATATTTCACAGTGGGAGGTGCAGGGAGAGTTGGGCTCTCGCTACATCACAGCTTAAAAGGGCATACCAACTGTGGACATGAACTTAACTTGCCAAAGCATGCCATGAGATATGCTATGATTGTTTTGAAAGTACGAGGTGATTGTTGCCAGCATTGTAAATTGGTATGTGCCGTTCCTAGTTGAATCTAAATATATCAACGTGCCATGCTATTCAGCGCTGGGCGAGTAATAGGGAGCTTGTGTATCAAGAAAACTTGCGTGCGTACTACCATACAGTACACAAATTTAAAATTATAAAACATGTTTGAGAATATTGAATATAAATTAGTCAACTTACTTAGGACTATAACAAATTAGGACTATACCACAACTACTCTTACTAGTCAACACAGGAATTTAAACAAACTCTTTTCAAACAAAAATCATTACCATCATAATATTGATGGTTGGTAATCAATTTTTTAACAATCAATACTCTGAAAACAGGATTTTTTTGCTTTAGGAAGATCCTACATTCTTACAACCTGGCCCAAATGAATTGTTGGGCTTATAAGATTGGTAGGAGAAAAAACGGAAAATATTTTATGCCCAACTAGATTGTTGCTACATCTAACTTATTACCTAATTATTGAAACATCTGGCAATGTTTTTATTTTCAAACTGAAACAATGACACAATCTAGATTTTTTGAGATACTTAATTAATGGTAAAAATCCTGATATATGTTTTAAGAAGTGTTGTTTTCTCTCTGGCCTGCTTTTAAGTTATTTCTCGTACATGAAAAAATTAATTATAAATCACTACATATTTTGGAATGTTTTTTTACATTGTTACATTCAAATTCTTACACAGTACTTGTATTGAACATCATAAACAATGTTAAGATAAATCATAATATAACATTGGAAATTACTTAAAAATATATGATGGAAAATATTATCCAATTACAATTTAAAATAAAAACATTCACTTGAAAATTCAAAAACAACAAATAAGCTTAAACACACTAACACACTGTAATCACTCAAGTCAAAATTTAGTGAGGCAACAATATCTAATGCTTCGTTGGGGAGGTCAAGACGCATGAGAGAGCCATATGCAGCCCGCACACAGCGCAAGCAATGGGGCAACCAGGCCCCACAGCCTCAGCACCGCTATTGGGCCAGCTGCCTCCAGCAGCGCTGCGCCTTGGAGCTGCCATACGATCCAGGGTGTGTGGCAGCAGTGCTCCACGCAGTAGCCGTGCAAATTGCTCAATAGCAGCCAGCACCATGTGCTGTAGGTGCATTATTCCACAAGATTAAAATCAAATATTCATTATATTTCAGTTGGTCATACAGAAATGTACATGTATAGTATTTACACATATGTACATACAAGTATATATATTAGAACATTCACAAAGTGCCACATAAATATACCAAAAAGTCAATAAGCCACGGATCATCTGAATCTCTTTATAACTCTCAAGAACAGTAACTAGCAACTCGATTGAATATTCTGCACTTGAATACTATATTGTCTTACGTTTTGTGCATAAATTAATTGATTACTTTGAAACCAATGAAATCTCCTGTCACTGACACCAACTATCAATGTTAATATTATTGGCTACTTTTCAGGTTTGGATAAATGTGTTGTTTGTTTCATTGTTCTCAGAATTTAAGAATCATCACATCATCTTTTTGGAAAATTAGGAACGTTAAATCCAACTGGTTGGGCAAAATCAAGCAGTCAAAGTTACTGGTAATTATTAAATTATTGATAAGATTGTCATTAGTTTCTTTACTTCATATGTATGGACTAGACAAAATTTAAGATAGTCACTGAATAGGCAGAATAAATATGTTACAGAGTTGAAACAATTACATAATAAAACATTTTACAATATTTTTTTATTAAAATGTTATACATTTAATATAACATTCCTCTACATTTTGAAGTCATGTTTTTCATCTTCAGGAGTTTAAAATTTACTTCTGAAATGTAATGCATTTAAACATTTTCTGCTTTAAAACATTAAAACATAAATTCATATCTACATACCACAAATAAAGAGTAATACAGCACAAGCAAATCTTAGAATTTACTTCAATAACGAGTAATACAATTCTTAGTCTAAAATTACAGTACTCAGAGAATTCTTCTCCTAACATCATTCAAGGGGTTATGGTCACCTCTGAATTTTGTGCACATCAGACACCAGTGAGCACAGATTTAGATTGTGAGTGTTTTGAGAAATAAGGATAAAACATGGGAAGGGAGTTAGGGAAAGGGTAAAAAATCATTGGGGAAGAGGTGATCAGGGAGATTGGGGGGATGTGAAGGGGATGAAGATTAGGAAAACTGTGGTACGCAAAATAAACAAACCTTGAAAATATAATTTCTATTTTTGATTCTTATTTAGGGTAATAAGTTGTCATAAATTTTAGATGTCTGATCGCCCTCTACCTTCATATTCATAGTGTACTTTTTCACTTCATATGTAAATTTTTAGAAATCAATCTAGGATACATCTTACCTATTATGGGTGCATTCTCAAAATTACATTTGTGATCATGTGGTAACCTGTTTGGTTACCAAATAATGCATACTCGTCCTTTAATATTAAAACTACATTAATAAAATATTTATTAAACAATTTTTAAAAATATATCTTCATCAAAAATTCATCATTCAAAAAATACATCAATATCCACTCGCATTTGTCGCAAGATATATGGTGTGCGGCTGGTGGTAAACTCAAATGGCATGTGTCTTCCCAAGACACACTTTGCACCATCAGCATACAATTCTGAACTTGTGCAAGCTATGTAGATTTTTGAAGGGAAAAAGAGAAGAAGAAGAAAACCCAACAATAACAACTATTTTTGAGAATTCATTAAATATTTTTGTGAAATAAATTTCAAGAAAATTGGTACAACACTATAAAATTTAAAAAAAATATGTAATGTAGTACAAATGTGTGAAAATTGTATCGATATATTTGAATTTTATGTTAAAACCATGATTTGCTAATATCAGAATTTTGAGAACTGAATATAAAAAGACAAAAAATTAGGAATTACAAAATAATCCAGCCTCTAATCATATCCTTTTAATTTAGTCTCACAGTAATATCATCCAAGGTTGAGAATTCATCCATTCCTGCACATCAAGCTACTACCATAATATTTAAATATATAATAAAAAAGTAAAATTTAATATAATGAAGCGAGATCTCTCCGATTGCCTCTAAAAGCGGTTTTACTGTATACTAGAATAATAATTTTATATAATTGTGTGTCCTCACAGATCCAAAGAACAGAAGTAATCATAGTAATGGACAATACACCAATTGTGTAAAGGGTTTATGAATCATCCATAACACCACTGGAACAACGTACCTTGAAATCACTGTCTCGAGACGAAGAAACTTGAACATGCAACTCGCCACTAAAGTAGGCCATCCCTAGTTTCCACAGGTCAGGGAAACGCTCTGCCAGTATTTCCGCTAGCTCCTCCACAAATAGTACTCGCTGAGGCACCATATTTGCACTAGCATCCAATGCTGCAGTCTTCATCTTGCTTACTGTTGGCTTTGAGCTCTTTCCTGCAGAAAATATATATAACCAGAAAAAAAATTAGCCATACTCACTATGTGTTAGAGGATTATTTTTTCTCTAAATTTAACAACTACTTATCCACTTGTTCATTATCAGGGCCCTGTAATATTAGTTTTTCTATGGAACATTTGCAGTTTTTTCACACAGTATTACATAACGTTCTCTGTTCTGCATAAGCAGAAGCGAGAAACTAAAACGATAAACATGCTGC